TGCCTCCCATTGCACTGAAAATAAAACCCAAACTGCTTATGAGATCTTGTAAACATTTCGAGTCTGCCCCCTCCACACCTTCTCTCTCAGTTACTGCCTCTCTTTTCCTTCTCAGAATTCACACAAGAATGACTATGTTCTTTCCTTTGCTAACTCCTCACCAGCCCCTGGACTATAGCTTTAAGAGAGTAGACGCCTCTTTGAGACAGGTTACACCTGCTGTTCTCTTTTATAACATCCTGGTTGACTTCAACATTACTGTATATATGTGTATAATTACTGCAAATATTTTCTCTATATAATGACTATGTACATTAATTTGTATAATTCTTATGTAATACCTGTCTGACCCTAATGTCTTGTATGTCTTGTGAGGAACCAGAGCTATGTTTTCCCTCCTGTGACCTCAGCATTTGACTTAGGCCTGGAGATATACAACAGATGTGCAAATTGTTAAATGTGTGAATATGCTAAGCGTGGGCTACAGGGGGGAAGCAAAAATGAAACAAATATGGATCACCCCTTAGAGCAATTTGCCTCCTCCTAGGGGATGGATGACTGAAATATAAAGAATCCATAAGGAAGAAAATTAACATCACGGGAAACTCTGCAAGTCTTGGGAAAAGGGCATTATTTCAAGCCAGGTAGATTAGAGGAGTTACTGCAAAGAGGTAGTACTACATTGGGCATCGAATGCAGAGAAAGCATGCTCAAAGGCACCAACCTGAGAAAGTACAGGGCAAATGTGGAGAACGAGGTGTGGGTCACTTTAACCACAGCATAAAGCACATCAAGAGTAAGAAACAGAGTACACAAGAGTAAGAGAGGAGGAACGAAGTGATACCAGATTGTCACGAGCCTCATGTGCCAGACTAAGAATTCTGGGCTGTATTCTGGAGGTAGCATAGGATAACAACAATAACTCAATGCAGTCATTTCAAACCTTAATTTTTTTTTTCAGGTAACATGTTGAAATAAGCATCCGTATAGTTACTACCTAGATTCAAAGGAAATTACAGACAACATGACTATTCGTTCCTAAATACTTTAGTATATTTCTGCAATTATAAACATTTTCCTTCATATCGAGCAAACTATTACACTGAACCAATGTAACAACTACCTAACAGCATCTAATACTAGTTCATCAATTGTCCCCAATTATCTGTTTCTTCTGAACCAGAATTCAATAATTTGTTTTCTGTGTCTTTTAAGTTGCTAATATCAAACAATCATCCTTTGACCCTTTTCTATGAGATTGGTTTTCTTTAATCTTTGTCTTACCCTTTGTAGCCGTTGTCTTATAGACTGCTTCACATTCTTGATTTATCTGATTGGCTCCTCAAAGGTGTGGTTTAACTGGTTCCTCCTGCCCCCATAAACTGGAGGTTAGATCTAAAGGCTTGATTATATGCAGTTTCAGCATTTTTGGCAAGAAAACTCCATTAAATGATGCTGTATACTTCATGCTGCAGCACACCAGGAACCTCATAAAAATGATGGTTATGTCACAGCTAATGACACTGGGTTGGATATCTGGATTAAAGGTGGGAGGGGATGCAGCCAGACCTTTCCCATTGTGAAAGTATGGGTCTCTCCTTGGTGGTTTGCAAGTAACCCGAGGGATGTATTTGGCACCATAACTGTTTGCAGCTTACCAAACATGCTCAAATGCACCTAATCACAACATTCCTGTAAGTTCTATTTCTATTTTTTTTTTTTTTTAATTACTGGGGCTGATGCTGTGGCATAGCCGGTGAAGCTGCTGCCTGTGGTGCCGGCATCTCATATGAGCACTGGTTCAAGTCTCGGCTGCTCCACTTCTGATCCAGCTCTCTGCTATGGCCTGGGAAAGCAGCAGAAAATGGCTCAAGTCTTTGGGCCCCTGCACCCGCGTGGGAGACCCAGAAGAAGCTCCTGGCTCCTGGCTTCGGATCAGCACAGCTCTGGCCATTGCAGCCAATTGGGGAGTGAACCAGAGGATGGAAGACCTCTCTCTCTGCCTTTCTGTAACTCTACCTTCCAAATAAATAAATCTTTAAAAAATATTTAAGGTATACAAATTTCATCTATACAGATGCAGGAACATAGTGATACTTCCAACCCTACCCTCCTTCACACCCATGCTCCCAACCTTCTTCCTCCTCCCTGTTCCTATTTTTTTTTTAAAGACTTGTTTATTTTACTTGAAAAGAAGAGTTACAGAGAGAGAGCTAGAGCAAGACAGAGAGAGAGATCCTCCATCCGCTGGTTCACTTCACAAATGGCCGAAACGGCCGGAGTTGGGCCCCGCCGAAGTCAGGAGCCAGGAGCTTCCTCTGGGTCTCTCACGTGGGTGCAGGGAGCTAAGCACTTGGACCATCCTCCTCTGTCCTCCCAGGCACGTTAACAGGGAGCTGGATGGGAAGCAGAAGAGCCCAACATGAACAGGCACCCATGTGGGATGCCTGCACCACAAGTGGAGGCTTTTACCTGCTCCAACACAACACCAGCCCTGGTTTTAGACTTATTTAACGTAAGTGAAAACTGAGGCTTGGAGTACTTAAATGACTTTCCCTATGTAGCAAAGACAGGGCTCAATCATATGTATGTTGATTTTACTTTCATAAAAAAAGAAAAAAAAATAATACCTGGGGCCAACGCTGTGACTTAACGAGTAAAGCTGCCGCCTGCAGTGCCGGCATCCCAAATGGGTGCTGGTTCGAGACCCAGCTGCTCCACTTCCGATCCAGCTCTCTGCTATGGCCTGGGGAAACAGTGGAAGATGACCCAAGTCCTTGGACCCCTGCACTTGCATGGGAGACCCAGAGGAAGCTCCTGGCTCCTGACTTCGGATCTGCTCAACTCTGGCTGTTGTGGCCATTTGGTGAGTGAACCAGCGGATGGGAGACTTTCTCTTTCTCTCTCTCTCTCTGCCTCTCTGTAACTCTTTCAAATAAATATACGAAATCTTTTAAAAAAAAAAATAGTCTACATGTCACTAAAGTTTTGAAGGATATTCTGTCTCTAAAATTCAACAAAATTTCTCTCCTTTGAAAATCATTTTTTTTAAAGTTTATTTTCTTGACACTGGGACATTGTTGAGAAAAAAATCAATTTGTCTTAGTGTCTAACTAAGAGCCATTTATTTCTACTGTTTGTTCAAACTGGCAAAATGTAACAGGTGCTGGATTCCTGGAAGTGTGGTGTTTTTGGCTACATTTATAACAATAGCTTACAACATCTAAACGTTACACGTTACTGAATCTGTGGCTTCCACAAATGCACGAACAAAATCAATTGCTCAAAAATAACGACGTCTGGCCAGTTAAGCACGTGCACACAACGTGTGCTCCGGACGCTAAAAGCAACACTAGCCTTTAGGTACGGAAGAGACCCAATGCCAAGTGCTGGAGAATCTATTTTCTCCTGAAGCGAGGTCAGCAACTCCTGGGACAGAATTAGTAGAGGCAGACACGGTCTAGAATCAAGAGCTAAGGGGTGGAGAGCGCACGTCGCAGGAGGGGCGCGGGCCGCGGGTCCAGGATGCGGCAGGGAAGCTGCTTCCCCCTCCCCAGAAAGCCAGGCCTTCGGCCCGAGACGGACAGACGAGGCCCCAGATGGGAGATTCAGGCGGAGGTTGACTGTCGAGGGCCGCTCTTTCAGCCCAGGCTTCTCCCAACAAGCCACTATCTGACGCCTTAAGTCAGAAGGAAACCCGACCTCCCACTCTCACATAAACAAAAACAAAAACACCCCCAACATTTGAGAGACTTTCACCACCCACCAACTTCCCAGAAGCTAGACGCAGGCGGGCACGCCCCCAAGCCTTCTTCTAGAATCCTGTTGGTTGTTCCGGCCTGCTTCTCTCTCTGAGGGCCCCTTTCATTGGCTAGCATTGCCAAGCTCCACCTTTCACAATTCCTGGAGCCAATCGTCTCCACTCATCGCGCGACCTCTCCGTTGATATGTGAGTGGCATTCATGCTAACCAGTAAGAAATGAAAGTGAGGTTTTGAAGACTAGACACCTCCCTTTTTCCCTCAACTCGTTCAGTAAATGGTAGAAAAGATTGAGCAGCTGATGCCAACACCAATCCGTAAGGGCGGAAGAGGATGAGGAGAAGAGTGATGGGAGGTGGTGACGTGGCAATGACAGGCGCATAAACTGAAAAGAGTGGCAGGAACACTAGCCAATGGGCGATCAAATTGGTCAGGCACTCCGCATTCTCCCTTCCTCCCAGAGCGCTAGGGACTTCAGAAAAGGACCAATTAGCTTGTGCACTCGCCTGATTGGCCTTCATCTGAACCAATCAACGGAGAGTCTGGCGGACGCGTCCCACCCCGGGCTCTCACTGGGCGGTGTAGAATGACAAGCCCGAGAGAAATGCCAATGTCCAAGAGATCTTCTTCAAGTGACACTCGGCAGCACCAATCGACGACCTCCTTCCAGGCTGCCGAGCCCTCCTCCTCACGGCGGGCCTGGCGGGGCGGGGACGCTGCGCGGCGGCGGCTGATGCGCTAGCCGTGTTGGGCGCTCCGGGTGGCAGCGGCGGCGGCTCTCGTAGGCGGTTCCGGTCCTGTATCTCCGGGCGGCGGCGGCTCATGGCGGCGACGGAGCTGAGAGGAGTGGTGGGGCCGGGCCCGGCAGCCATTGCAGCTCCTGGCGGCGGCGGCGCGGGTCCCCCAGTGGTGGGAGGCGGCGGCGGCGGCCGCGGAGACGCGGGGCCGGGCTCTGGGGCCGCGTCAGGGACGGTGGCCGCGGCGGCTGCGGGCGGCCAGGGGCCCGGGGCCGGGGGAGTGGCGGCGGCGGCGGGCCCGGCCCCTACGCCGCCGGCGGGGGGCTCCGGCAGCTCGGGCACTGGGGGCTCGGGCTCGGCTCGCGAAGGCTGGCTCTTCAAGTGGACCAATTACATCAAAGGCTACCAGCGGCGGTGGTTCGTGCTGAGCAACGGGCTCCTGAGCTACTACAGGTAACTGCTTCCGGGGCGCCGTCACTCACCGTGCCTCCCCCACCGCAGCCCACGGCCCCGGCGCCGGCCCCCTGGAAGGTCGCCCCGGGCTCCGCGTCGTCTGCGCGAGTGGACAGCCCGCGGCCGGAGCCCGCCGTGATGACAGTGAAAGACCCCAGACTGGCAGCCCCCGGCCCTCCGTTCCTTCTGCCCGTTCCTTCTGCCACATCCTTCTGCCCGTCCGCTGGCCTCCCGGGCGTGTGGAGAGCGTTTGTTCTTCCCTTTCTTCCCACCGCCACATGGGTGCAGTTACTAACCGTGCAAGCCAGGCACCGCTGGGGGTGCTCAGAGCCACTGCTGTCCAGGAACTTAGCTCCAAGTCTTGGCCGCCCATGCCCAGCCTCTTAAAACTCAAGGTTATTCGTAGCCCTTGGTGTGCCCACCCTGGCCCCCTCCACGTTCAGGCGCAAGGACACCGCGCGTAGAGTGGCCTCAGCACCCCTGTAATTCCTTATCTCGCCTTCTGCACACCCCGAAATGGAGATCTGCGCTCCAGGGAGGCAGATCCTCCTCCCATGGGAATGATTTCAGTGCTGTGTCCCACATGGCTGTCATCTTTCCGGTTAGTTAGGATTACGTTTTATTCAAGGGAGAATCCGTGTCTTTGGTATAATTACTTCTGTTCGACAGTGTTTATTTTAGAAATGTTGAGTATTCACCGTGTGACCGCAGCATACATGCTGCTTTGGGTTTTCGTGTTGCTGTAGATAAGAGGAGTAAAGAAAGATGATGGGGCAGGACATACACATTTTCTGGGCTTGAACAGTGTGGCTGGATGTTTTGCAAACAGTATTTTGTTGGCTGCCAACAACCACCTGGGAGTTAAGAGGTATTCTCATCTTCCTGATGAGGAAACCAGCACTTACATGGGCCACTTTCCCAACGTCTTGGAGGAGTCAGGGTTTGAAACTACTTCTGTTCACAGCAACATAAAACCAGGTTCCTGTTATATGAATCAGTCAGGTACAAAGGTGTTTGTATATCTGTAGCAAGTAAGTTTACAGGTCATAGTTACTATGTATATTTTAGAAAAGTATAAAAGTCTCCCTTAAGGACTTTGCTTAACCGTAATGGCATTTCTCACTGAAATCTTTTTGGGGGGATCCAAAACACTGATGTTGAAGAGCAGCTCACTCTGTATTTCTTTTTCCTTTGCCAGTAGTCATTCTGCTTCCAGGCAAGAGAGGGTAGACAAATCTCTTTTTCACTGTATTGGCTTTCAGAAAATTTTGAGGAGAAAGTTAAGGTGGGAATTTAAAGGTGTTGATAAGAACACAGTTTTTATCTGTGCTTTAAAGCTGTGTAAAATGCCTTAGCTTATGCTAACTGCTTAAGCAATGTTGATTGTGAGTAGTTGTATCATTTGCATCATTGTACTCATAATTTGTTTTAATTATAGCCCTTTCTAATCATTCAGATTGTCAGTTTAAGGTTCTATAATAAATCCAAAATTTTAGTTTACTGCAGTTTATCCCCCTACTCAAGTACACGTTTTTCTATTATCAGTGACCATCATTTTAATGATAATTGGTTGACTTACATTTTGACTTGCTTCATAAAGTCACTATTAATATTGATTCCCCATTTAAAAAAAATTGTGTATCAGCTGATGGCTTGAATTTATTGCCTTTTCTCAGGGAAGTTCTTATGGGATCCACTTTGTAGGCTAGTTGATTCTTCGATGAGTTTGAGTCTTGATCGGTATTCATTGTGAACATTAATAACTTAGTGGTCTCTTAAACCACTCTTAATTTCTCTCTTAGAAGAGCTAATGGTACCCATCTGACTACAGATAAAACTTCTGAAGCATTCCAAGCCACGGACTAGGAAATATGTCACAGTCTTTGCCAACCAAGATGGTTCCACTTGCAAACCAATCAAGCAGCAGGACCCAGAGTTATCAAATCTAAGGAATACCCTCAAAATCACATTGAAGTATTTCCTAACAACTACATTGGCAGCTTATTCTTCCCAGAAGTTCTTTTGGTCCCCATCTCCCTACTAGAAATATTTAGCCATGTGTCGTCCCTCTTGATTTTCATGCCTCCAAAACCTACATTCTCTTATATGCTGTTTCCAATACTGGTTCTTTTTAGCTGAGATCATGTGCTTCCTAGACCCATCCTCTGATGAACCATCCTTGTGTGCTTTGGACGCTGCTGCTTTCTGTTTACCTGTTTTATACTTTTTTACCTGCCCAGTTGCATAGATGTCCCTTTACTTCAGCCCTTACAGAGTCCCAGCTCTCCCAACAACACCATGTCAGGCCATAGTATTAGTTTTCTTGGCTAGCTTCTAGAGATTAGATTACTATTTGGGCTGGCCTTTTCAGGGAAGATCTTTCTAGCCAGAAAATGCCACCCAACACTGTAGTGCCTGAAGAACTTATCTTGCATCCTGGCAGTCATGTGTTTCCAGCTTCTGCACTAATCATTTATAACCACAGGTGTATCTTCCCCAGCCTCAGCTTGGGAAGTGTTAGGTCGAGTCTGCCTTACTCCCAGGGTTCCATGCTGTTTTTTAAACTGCTGCAGACTTTATGATTTGGAAAAGGTCTTTATTTCACAAAGATGATCCAGGCAGAAGAGATTGCTAGGCAGTGGTTTGTGAAAAGTGCCCGTAAGGAGGAATGTGATAGAAGGTCCAAGTGGCTCCCTTGGAGCAGAAAGCAAGAGTAAGCTGTCCTGTCAGCTGTAGGTCTATAATTCAGCCTGCATTATTCATAATGTAACTGAAGCTTGGGGGTGGGGAGGTAAGAATAGAAAAAACAGGGATTCATGTTACAGTGTGGCAGGTGCAGGGGATGGAAAATGGGCCAGTCCAGGGAGACCCCTGGCTATCACATACTGTTCATTTGTGCGTTTGAGGGAAAACCAGTTTGATGGGGCAAAATCAACAACAGCAAATCTGACATCCTGAGCACAATAAACAAACCTCAAGTGCACAGAATTTTAGTGTGCAATGATAGGGTATATGCTGTTTCCGGCATGCACGAATTCTGGATGTGCCAGGTGTATTTGGACACTTGGCTCCACTGAAAGGGAAATGGCTCTGTTTTCTACTGTGGCAGTTGGCAAAGGACTTTGACCTCTTTATGTTCCAAGTTAGGCAGGGAAAACTGCAGTCTCAACATGCAGGTTCCTGGGCATAGCCAGCAAGTGGTGGAAAACTTAGCAGTTTCCACTTTACATTCTGTTATGCTAGGAGCTTGTTTTTTTTATTTTTTTATTTTTTTTTATTTTTCATATGAAGTGTCTAGCTTGTCACCATGCAGTGCTGTAAAGTTCAAAAGTTAGTCTATTAATAGAACTGTCAGTCAGTAGAGATTGAGAAAATTTTTACACCCAGTCTTCTGAGAGCAGATCTGCTGAATCTTTCCTAGCTATTAATAGGATGGCTTAGGAGCTCCCACCAATAGAGGTCGGTGGACCTTGGGAAAGAGCATTTTCCAGAAAGAGTTAACCACCTGGTCATTCTTTCATGAATATTCTTTCTCTCCCCTGCTGCAGAAAGGGAATTATTCTTCATATCATTCGAGCCGTAGCCAATATTTAATACTCTCAATGTTCTACTGTACCTTTTTACACTTCTGCAATTTAACTCTAAGCATGGTGTTGCATTTCTCATTTGGGCTGAGTTATAGTGATGGGGATGGTTCAGTGTATCTAATGAAGCTATTCTTTTTTTTTTTTTTTTTTTTTTTTTTTTTTTTTTTTATTTTTTGACAGGCAGAGTGGACAGTGAGAGAGAGAGACAGAGAGAAAGGTCTTCCTTTGCCGTTGGTTCACCCTCCAATGGCCGCCGCGGCCGGCGCGCTGCGGCCGGCGCACCGCGTTGATCCGATGGCAGGAGCCAGGAGCCAGGTGCTTTTTCTTGGTCTTCCATGGGGTGCAGGGCCCAAGCACCTGGGCATCCTCCACTGCACTCCCTGCCACAGCAGAGGCTGCTGAGAGGGCACGTCAGATTCGGGCCGACGACTAGACGGTGTGCGCCCGCTAGCGAGATAGCTACTGAGCCGCGGCGCCTGCTAATGAAGCTATTCTTAAGGAATGAGAACCTTGTATGAAATTTTGTTGCATGAGATGAGAGAACACTTGATCATTTTCTAAGTAAAAAGTAATTCTCGACTGCACAAGGGAACAAGGGAGCTCTTTGAGGTAATGGAAATATTCTACCTTTCGATTGTGCTGTTGGTTAGACAATTGTATACATTTGTCAAAACTCACTTAGTTGTATACTAAAAATTGCTGAATTAATTTGCATGTAGCTATCCTATTTTTAACAGGTTAATGATGAAAAGAACAGCAGGGCAATAAAATCTGACCCAGAAAATACATAGGTTCTGAAAGGAAATTCCTGCTGGTTGTTTCTTGAATTTTAGGGGGCCATTTGAGGGAAATGTGACCAGAACTTGCTGAATCCTTAGAATACCGTATTTTCCAAAAGACTAGTTATGAAAAGAAATGGAATATGCTGATGGATAAATCATCCATCACCTTTATGTTTAGCTTAACTTTGTTTTGCTATTACAGATCAAAGGCAGAAATGAGACATACTTGCCGTGGTACCATCAACCTAGCCACAGCCAACATCACTGTTGAAGACTCCTGCAACTTCATCATTTCCAATGGGGGTGCCCAGACCTACCATCTGAAAGCTAGCTCAGAAGTAGAGCGGCAGCGCTGGGTGACAGCCCTGGAGCTGGCCAAGGCCAAGGCTGTGAAGATGCTGGCAGAATCAGGTAAGCAGCAAAGAACACCATACCTGGGGAGCTTTCTGTTTGCCCCTTTATGCACAAATCTTTTGTCCCGCCTTGTGCTGTGTCATTTGATTATTATCTATCTCCTAGATGTCTCAAGCTTCTCCACATCATGCAGTATTTCTCCTGGAGTGGTGGTTCTCAACTGGGGCCAATTCTGTCCCCTGCCGGGGGAACATTTGGCAAGTCTGGAGACATTTTTGGTTGTCACAAGCTGCTGGCGTCTGGAGAGTCCAGGCCAGGTTCTGCTGCTACATCCTACAGTACATACAACAGCTCTTCCCCCCTCCCCACCACATAATTATCTGGCTGAGGCTGGAAAACCACTGTCCTACTGGCATACAGTTGTGCTGATGCTTTTAATGACAATTGACTACCTTAAAATTTTGAGAAATAATCATTTTATTGCTAGATCAGCCTTAGGATTATAATAACTCACAAATTGTATCTACCCATACCTTCTCCTGACATCTTCTTACTTAACTGTTTGTTGAAACTATTAAGTTGAAACAGTAGTTAGCCAAAAACTCTAAATGATACTTTCTATGAAAAATTTCCATTTTGCAACATTTGCTGCATTAAAAAGAACAGTCTACTTATGTTTTGATTTTTCTCAAGGAAAACAGTAGGATTTCTCCCCTGAGGTAGTGAGCTTGTTCACTTAGAACTGACCTGCTGACTTTTGTTATCTATCTTATCCTGTGTCATTTCCTATACTGCATTTAATATCTATTAAGCAGTGGAAGGAAAATTGGTCATTTTATAAATTTTTTGCTAACAGATTTTATTTCGACTGGCTTTGCTCCTTTGTCTGGCAGATAAGTCAGGTTTATCTTTACTTCTTTTGTCTTGATTTTAGTGCTGTTGTTCCTTTGCTCCTGCAAAGGAAGTGACACTTCTAAAAAAGCACTTTGCAGTTACAAAATGTTAAGTATAAAGCTGATAGAAGAAGGCACAACATAATGATTGTCTACTTGATTTCTTAATAGAGAGCTACTTAATATAAGGCCCTGCATTGCTTTCATGGTTGTTGTAGTGTCAAGTGAGTTCATGAAGTTCCTGAACTCTTTCAGAAAAAAAATTAATTAATGAGCCTTTTATTGATGTGGACTTGGTCTACAAAGAGCTAGACTATGATTCTCAATTTACTTGATACAAAGACTATTGATCACCCAACAGATGACCATGGATTCGTGATAATCACTGGCATAGACTGGAGTGGAACCCTCAAACTAGGGTTAAAAGGCTCAATAATGCATCCCTAATTTCAAGATTTATTCAGCTTTTCCATCCCTTTCTCCAGGTCAGTGTTTCTCTGATTTCACTGTGCATCAGGAATACCTGGCAGCAGGACCTTGCCTCACACTGGCTAGATTAAAAGTGTCTGGGAATGGGGCCAGAGACTTTACTCCCTTAAGAGGCACCCCAGGTGTTTTGATGCAAGCGGTCTGTGGACCAGTGTAAAGAAACCATCTGGTAATGTCAGGCCCTCAGTAAGTGAGATGGCACAGCACGAGCAGTATCAGTTTGCTAGTTGGCAGAGTTAATAGGTTGCTGATTCTAGACTCACATAACTGACCTTTCCATCCCTAAAGATGAATCAGGAGATGAAGAGTCTGTCTCACAAACTGACAAGACTGAGCTGCAGAATACCCTCCGCACACTCTCCAGCAAAGTAGAGGACCTGAGCACGTGCAATGACTTGATAGCCAAGCATGGCACAGCCCTGCAGCGTTCCCTCAGCGAGCTGGAGTCCCTGAAGTTGCCTGCTGAGAGCAACGAAAAGATCAAACAGGTCAACGAGCGAGCCACACTCTTCAGAATAACCTCCAATGCCATGATCAATGTGAGTGCAGATGGTGTCTGTGTTGCTTTCTGATTCTTTCCCTCTTTGAAACGTAGTTCTTCCCAAGTGCTAGAAAACTGTATCTGATAAAGCCCAGGACATTAGGTACTGCTTCACTGCCCAGGGGCTTTAAGTTACATTGTTTGTTGCACTAAATAGAACAGGCTACACAGATGGAATCACCTTCATGCTGTGCTCAGTTGGTCAGAAGGACATTGCTGCAGCCTAGGAGTGGGTTAGGCCAAAGTTCCAGACCTGCTTCTGCAACCAGCAGGCCATCTGATAGTGATAGTAATTCAGTCTCTTAACCTCTCTGGGTTGTGGTTTTACTCATCTATTTATTGTCAGTTATAATCTGTTGGAACTAAAAAATCTCCGTGGGTCTTTTCACCATGGTGAAAAAGTTTGAACTATAGTCCTATTTTGCTAAAGTATTCTAACGTGTAGGATGGTAAATGGGGGCTGGCTCAAGTACTAGTGAGAATTGTAAAATACTGGTTAATCTTGTCTTTAGTCCTTGATTTCAGGTAATTCTATTGATAAGACAAAATACTCAACTTTGGGCACCTTTCTTTTGAAAAGAAGGGACAACAATGCTGTTTACTTGTGACTTTGACTTTGGAGAGCTTTTGTTGGTTTGCCCAATATTTTAGCTGTGTGGGTACAAGGCACCAGGTAAACACAAAGCACCACTGGTGCATTGTTAGGTATGAAATGATTACATGGCTTTAATAGTGCAGTTTTTCCCATACTGGTAACTGATTCTCACCTGGCAGGTTGTTTTAGTTACCTTCCACATAAAAATGCTCAAAGACATTTCCTAAGTGAGAGTAATATAATGTGAGAAAGGGTTTATTCTGGATAGGATTTTGTTAGTTTGTTTTGTCTAATTAAATGGGATGAAATTACCTCACCAGAGTCAGATTTTCCTTTGTATAGAAAGTGATAGATCTGCTCAGAGCTAGTTTAGTTCACATGGCTTCCTGTGACCAAAGGAAAAACCTGTTTTTTCTCATATAATTCTTTTGTTACTTAATGGGAAGTTATGATAACCTTTATTTTAATGCCATTTTCTGAAGTGTGAATACAGCTCTGATTCACAGTAGTAGAAAGAGGACAAATTATTTTCTCCAACTTGGGGGTTGCAGGGAGATTCAGTATCTTCTAGGACCATTCAGCAGATCAGTCCTGATGTTTGTGAAGTCATTCCTGATGTTTGGTCCATGTTCTTTTTTCCAAACTGATGTCTTTTGTAGCAACTGTGTGCTTGTTTTTTGGTTCTTTTGCGATCAGGGAAACCTCTTAAATCATAAAAGTCAATCAACAGTAAATAAATATACTTTTAAAAATGTTTATTTATTTACTTATTTATACAAGAGACAGAGTTCTCCCATCCGCTGGTTTTTACTCTCCCAAGTATCTTCAGTAGCCGGGGGCTAAAGCCAGGAGCTGGGAACTCAATCCAGACCTCCCATATGGGTGGCAAGGACTCAAGTTACTCCAGCCATCACCTGCGGCCTCTCAGAGTGCACGTTAGCAGGAAGCAGGAATTGGTAGTGGAGCCAGGACTCTAACCTAGATAATCTGATATGAAATGTGGGGGTCCTAAATGGTGGCTTAACTGGTAGGCCAACCTGCTGTCCCAAGTATATCTTTTATTTTTATTTATTTTTTTAAAAAGATTTACTTATTCCTTTGAAAGAGTTACACAGAAAGAGAAGGAGAAGCAGAGAAGAGAGAGAGAGAGAGAGGTCTTCCATCTGCTGGTTCACTTCCCAATTGGCCACGATGGCCGGAGCTGTGCCAATTGGAAGCCAGGAGCCAGCAGTTTCTTCCCGGTCTCCCACCTGGGTGCAGGGGCCCAAGGACTTGGGCCGCCTTCCACTGCTTTCCCAGGCCACAGCAGAGAGCTGGATCGGAAGTGGAGCAGCCGGGACTCGAACCTGCGCCCATATGCATGTAGCAGTGCAAGTGGTGGCTTTACCTGCCATGCCACAGCGCTGGCTCCCCAAGTATGTCTTTTAAATAGCCCAGCCCAAGACACAACAGTCTTCTGAGATAAAAGGTTACCTTTTATCCATGTTGGGTGCGTATCCCAGGCTAGGACAGTTGTTTTCTACTCTGATGTGCAGAAAACATTTTGCTGAATAAAATACCCCTTCATAAAACTAAAACTTTAGTTGGATTTTTCTTTTGAAAATGTGCTTATCTTTGTTCCTCAGGCGAATTCTTCCCCAAGTTCTAAGTGTGCAAGTTCTAAGTGTTCTTGTATTAACAAGAACATTCTGTTGAAAGTCAGAGTTAAGTTTTGTTTTCTTGTTCTGTTCTGCCTTGGTGAACTACTTGTGGCCTTTCCATAGCCGATTATTGCTTGAAATGCATTTTTTTCTGTGTTGTTTCCCTCATACCTTTTAGGTGATGATACAGCAAGGCATGTAATAATGTATGTCAAAAATTATCATGTTAGTGCATTTCAGTCTAAACAGGCAATTAAGTCAAAGGAGGAATATACCTCACTCAGTTCCTTGATTACTTAGGGTACCTGTATAGTTTTTCTTACTACCAAATGAATCTAACTAGGGGAGCAAATTTGAAACCTGTATTCATTTGCTATCTATTGACCACCTGCTGTTTATAGGCACTGTGCTAAGGGATATCCCTAAGGGTCAAGGTGTGTAGTCCCTTCCCTCAGAGATTATTATTTAGTGAGAAGACAAAGAAGGAAATGTATCATTATATAGTGCACAAAGTGCTGTGTAGAGGTGTGATGGAGCACATTGGAGGTGTTCAGCCCAGACTAGGAGGATTCGAGAAGGTAGTGCCACAGCTTCATTCAGAAAGATAATGGAGAGTCTTCTGATGAAGAAAGGGAATGTGAGCTTGAGGCCGGGAATCCAGCTATCTCTGTCACCTATCTGTATATCCTGGGGCAGCCTGCATCTTCTGTGACTTCAATTCCTTATCTGTAAACAGTGATGATGTTAATAGACCATCACAGGATTGTTGAACGTCTTTATTAGACAATTGATTTGAAGTACTCAGCAAAATGTCTGACAAAGAATTGTCTTCTGTTAAGTTTTAATTATGATCAGTGTTGTTAATGAGGAATAAGGTAGTAGTGTAGCATATGTGGGTTCCTTCCTCACCTCCAAAGCCTGGGTACTGCTGGTAATTAAGTATTAGAGCAAGAAAATAGCTAGAGATGAAACTGGAGTTAACTGAGTGCTGGCATGCAGGTTATGCTAAGTGAGTAGAGGATTAGAAGAAGATGAGATCAACTTTGGTGTATTCATAATTATAATAGCTAACACTTTATTGGATGTTTTTTATTAGCCTGATATGGTTCTAAGTGCTTAATATGTAAAGCAACAAACGTTTGAGATAGTTACTATTGTTGTTTTCTGTGTACATATTAAGAAAGATGTTCTTCTTTGTTTACAGTGTGATAGCAGGATGGAGCTGTGATTTGAACCCCAACAGTCCAACTCCAGAGTGTATACTCTGTACTGCCTCTGAGTATGGAGGATAGAAAGATGTGTGCAGGTTCCAAAAATATTTACAAATAATCATTAGGATCTGATAATTGGAGGTAGGAAAGGAAGCAAAACTAAGGAAAGGCTATCCCTTAGGTTTCTGATTTTTTTTTTTTTTTTTTTTTTTTTTCCTGATCCGATGGCAGGAGCCAGGTGCTTCTCCTGGTCTCCCATGCGGGTGCAGGGCCCAAGCACTTGGGCCATCCTCCACTGCACTCCCTGACCACAGCAGAGAGCTGGCCTGGAAGAGGGGCAACCGGGACAGAATCCGGCGCCCCGACCGGGACTAGAACCCGTGTGCCGGCGCCGCAAGGCGGAGGATTAGCCTAGTGAGCTACGGCGCCGGCCGGTTTCTGATTTGACCAGCTGAGAGGACCCTGGAGCTGTTCTTGGGGTAGGGAATATCAAAGGGAAAAGCAGAGTCCTTCAGGGAGTGTGGTGAGTACAGTTTGAACCCATTCATTTTGAAGTTAACTTAAATAGGCAATTGGATGTTCTAAATTGAAACTCAGTGAGTGCTGGGCAGGAATTACCAATTTAGTAGCCATTAACCTATACGCAGTAGTTGAAATTCGGGGAGCCAATATTGTATTCACCTTTTAGTTCCTGTGAAACAGAACACAACTTTTAAGCTTACCTTGCCTCCTACTATGTACAAAGCAGCTAAGTTAAGAACTAGAGATCTGTGTGTGAATAAGATAAATTTTGTCTTTAAGTTGCTCATAATCCATCTGGAGTGGTAGAAAATCAGTCACGAAACTGCCATGCATGTGTAAAATAGAAGTATGTGCAAAGTGGTAAGGCAAATGTAGAGAAGACATTAGCTCCTGAGGGGAGGTGTCACAAAGGAAGTAACATTTGCCGTAGGTCTTAAAAAATGAGTAACCGCATTCTCGGCAAAGTGCATATCATATACTGAAGTGAACAGGCCTGAAAGAAATCTGTCTCTAAGAAATGGTGAACAATTTGTAGCAGCTGCTTGGAGTGGAGGGTACAAGGCAAGTAGCTGCTATATAATGTGAAAGGCTCTTTATGTTCATAACCAGGAATTAGTATTTGGTCCTAATATTCACAGGGAGTGCATGGAGAGATTGGTCAGAAGTTTTACTCTAGATCCTTTCTTTCATTCCTCAAGTAGGCTTCTGATTTTTAAGGTCAGTTATTGTTTTTAGTGACCAAAATAAGAAGAAAATAAGTTCCCCCCTAATTGGTCTAGTTCAGAGCATTTTCTCTGTTTTCAGAGTCTGAATTTCTTAGCTTTAGGTCACTGAAGTTTATTAAAGAACTTATTGAAAACATCCTATGCTTTTTTCATCCTTTGTTCAGTTGGTAGAGCTCTTCTTTTGGTGCAGTTCACGTACGTACGCTCACCTGGCATTTAGTCCTCACGACCAGGAAAATACAGATGACCAGACTTGTGTGTTTGGCACAACAGTTAAGCTGCCACGTTAGAGTGCCTGGCAAGTGCCAGCTGTGCTCTTGTTTCCAGGTACCTGCTAATGCACACCTTGGGAAGCAAAGGCGATGCCTTAGGCAGTTGTGTCCATGCCACCCTCTTTGGAGACCTGGATGGCATTTCTGGCTCCTGGCTTTGGCCTGGCCTCGCCCAGCCCTAGCCATGACAGGCATTTAGGGAGTGAACCTTTGGAGGGGAGCTCTCTTTCTGACTTAATCTGTCTGTCTTTCTCTGCCCCTCAAAATTTTAGAAAAGCTTTAAGAAACATGAGAGCCGTGTTCACTTTTTTTGGGGACTTGAGCTTAATTGCAGCTGTCCCTGATACTGTAGAATAATAGGGCAAGTCTTTTAATGTAATTTGCCAGCTAAAGTTCCCAGAGTAAGGTTACTGACTGGGCTTACAGAAACCTGAGAGGAGTCTGGCGACTTGAGGTGACACAATCAACACTTTCTCCCTACAGGCTTGCAGAGATTTCCTCGTGCTAGCTCAGACCCATAGTAAAAAATGGCAGAAGTCGCTGCAGTATGAGAGAGACCAGCGCATTCGACTGGAAGAGACCCTCGAGCAGCTGGCAAAGCAGCACAACCACCTGGAGAGGGCCTTCCGGGGAGCCACAGTTCTGCCTGCACATACCTCTGGCAGCGCAGGTTCTGGTAAAGGTAGGCGCTTGGTGGCGCTTGGGGAGACCAAGCCCTGTAGTTTCCTGCAAATGCTAGAAGAGCTCCACATTCTCAAGGACTCGCGTGTAACAGACTGGAGCTGCTTATCTTGGCTTCCCCACTGCTTTCTCTCTTTTATTGTATGTTGTGGTCTATATTTAAAAGAATCTGCTATCCCAGGCATTTGGTCAGTGTAACCAAAGTAAACAAATAGGGCTTTTCTTTTTATAGATCAGTGTTGCTCTGGCAAAGGGGACATGAGTGATGAGGATGATGAAAATGAATTTTTTGATGCCCCTGAGATCATCACCATGCCTGAAAATTTGGGACACAAGTAAGTTGTTATTATAATTATTTTTTAAAAGGTTTATTCTTTATTTATTTGAAAGGCAGAATTACAGAGAGAGAGGTCTTCCATCCACTGGTTCACTCCCCAAATGGCCGCAATAGCCAGAGCTTGGCCAGGCCGAAGCTAGGAGCCAGGAGCTGTTCTGGGTCTCCCATGTGGGTATAGGGACCCAAGCACTTAGGCCATCCTCCGCTTTCCCAGGTGCATTAGCAGGGAACTGGATTGGAAGTAGACCAGCCAGAAATTGAACAATTGCCCGTATGGGATACCAGCACTGCAGGCAGCAGCTTAACCTGCTACGCCACAGCGCAGGCCCCAAGTAAGTTACTCTTGACTGGCAAAGAAAATGAACATACCTGGCCATCAATAGGTTAGAAACATTTTAGGAGAAGTATCATAGTGTCAGTGTTTACTGGAAAACTGTCAACTATTTTAACATAAAAAAACATTCTATGTAGGTATTTAAATGCATGCCTATTCTAAGTGTCATCATTTGATCACCCATCAATAAGTTTGTACATGTACTTGGCATTCTGTTTTGTAAAGAAATGTCAAGGACCAAACTCTAGTTCTGATCTTTGTTCTCGTTCTCCCACTTTTCCCATCCATACAGACGTACTGGCAGCAACATCAGTGGAGCCAGCAGTGACATCAGCCTTGATGAACAGGTAATTCTTACAAGGGAGTTAACAGAGGTGAGGGAGTTGGGGTCTGAGTCCCAAGAATTTGTTTCTGAAGTGCTAAGAACAACAGAAAATACTGTTTTTTAAGCATGGGGGAAGGGAAGGTTATAAATAACAGATTTTCTGTTCTTTGTGGGTGATTGAATGGCTTTGTTTTTGTTCTCAGTACAAGCATCAGCTGGAGGAGACCAAGAAGGAAAAGAGAACCAGAATACCATACAAGCCAAACTATAGCCTGAATCTGTGGAGCATCATGAAGAACTGCATTGGGAAAGAACTCTCCAAGATCCCCATGCCGGTGAGGGTCTTGCACACCCAAACTGTTAGGCTGTCTTCTCAGCTTTAGTGGGAAGAGTGCTGATGTGACATCCCATTTGTGTAGCATCTTGTGGCATGGTCTTTATTACCCTTATAGTCATAAATTGGCTGTTAAAATTAGTTGCTTTAATTTTGGCCATGAGTCTGATATGTTCCTGGATCACCTAGAATCAGATACTTCAATAACAGTTATTTGTGAGCAAATTCCTATACTGGAGACATGCAAAAATAAAAACAGTGTGCTGTTTTCAAGATGTAGTTAATTTGAAAGAGACAGACCTAGGTGTAGATATGGTGGTACAGCAGGTTAAGCTGTCACTAGGATGCTTGCTTCCCATGCCAGAGTGCTGATTCAGGTACTGGCTCTAACACTTGCAATCCAGTGTCCTGTTAATTGTGCCTGGGAGGCAGCAAGTGATAGGCCAGGTGCTTGGGTTCCTGCTACCCTGCTGGGAGACCTGGATAGTACTCTGGCTGTTGCAGACTTCTGGGTAGTAAATTAGTGGATGGAAGATATATCTTTATTTTTCTGCCTTTCTCTCACTCTACCTTTCAAAAAAAAAAAAGACATGAAAACAAAAAATTCAATTTTTTTATTATAGTGTTAATGTTATAGAACTACTGTACATACAAAGGTTTAGGGAACACAGAAGCAAAAGCAGCTCATTCCAGCCAGGAAGTTGAGGACCATCTCTATGGTGAAGATGGCATATAGGCTGACCTCCTTGGCTCTGATCAGGTCATCCTCCAGCGTGTCCACATTGTTGCCAGTGATCTTTTTAAAATCCCACATGTAGTCATGTCTCTCTTCAGCTTAAGACCCATCAGTAGATCTTAGTTGCTTTCTTTTTTAAAAGATACATTTGAAAGGTAGAGTTACAGAGAGAGAGGGGTAGACCGAGAGAGATCTTCCATCCACTGGTTCACTCCCCAAATGGCTGCAACAACCAGGACTGGGCCAGGGTGAAGCCAGGAGCCAGGAGCTGCATGCGGGTCTCCCATGTGTGTGCAGGGCCCCAAGCATTTGGGCCATTCTCCGCTGCTTTCCCAGGCTCATCAGCAGGGAGCTGGATCAGAAGTGAAGTAGCCAAGACTCAACTCTGTGCCCATATGGAATGCCGGCAGTGTTGGCATGCAGTGGCTCAGCCCCACTATACCACAATACCAGCCCCTAATCTTCGTTGCTTTGAGTGTAGTCCAGATACTTTAGGGAACCCACTTGGTATTTCTTCCCAATGGGCAAGGCTCTGCCTTACACATCTGGGGTTCTAGTCATTAGGATTACCTTCAGGTTCTCAAAAGTATCTTGTGTTTTCTCTCAGGACTTTGCACACAGTCTTCTTTCTGCCTGGACTTTCATCAATTCACTGCCAACTCAAGCCACTTTTCTTTTGCTGTTCCTAGTACCCTTTTCTTTGGAATTCAGCTATCGTGTTGTTTCTTGAAGCACACCTTCTCCAGCACCTCCAGTAAGCATGAGATGTCTGTCTCCTGTGCTCTTACATCTGGGCAGTGCTTGTTCATTTCACAAGCATTGACTGAGTACCTACTATTTGCCTGGTGTTGAGCCAATATGTATTAGGTATAGGTTCAATCTGAAGAAACAAATCCAGAATGTATTGCTTTAAACCAGGGTTTTAGCTCCCTGCTGGTATGCCTGGGAAACCAGCAGAAGATGGCCCAAGTTCTTGGACCCTGTCCCCTAAATGTGAGATCCAGAGTTCCAGGCTCCTGGCTTCAGTCTGGCCCAGCCTGGGCTATTGCAGCCATTTGGTAGTGAACCAGCTGATTGCAGATTTCTCTCTCTTTCTGTGTGTATGTGTGCATGCGCGTATGAGGGCGTGCATATGTATGCGTATGTCTCCTCCCTCTCTCTTTAACTCTGCCTTTCAAATAAATAAATACATCTTTTAAAAACAATAAAATAAAGCAGAGATCTGCAAACTAAGGTCTTCAGGTCAAATCTTGATGCCATTTCTTCGGCCTGCAAGCTAGGAATGGTTCTTATAAGTGGTTGAAAAAAAATCAAAAGTTTGTGACATTAACATTCATAAAGTTTGGTTGGAACACAGTGTCCTCATCCACTCACGTCTTGTCGTGGCTCCTTTCCTTCTGCAGCAACAGCACTAAATAGTTATGACAGACTACATGGCCCTCCCAGCCTGTTTACTATCTCACCCTTTACAGAAAAAGCTGCAACTTCTGCCTTAAATAAATATTGGCTTAACTCATTCTTACTAAAATCCAGGGTAGGTGGTCCTGTACTGGCACTGTACTCCATAGTGTCAGGACCAGACTTCTTTCTTTCATTTTTTTTTTATGGGAAAGTATCATTTTATTAGTAATAATATAAGAATTTGATACCAAAGAAATGAAGGTGATTTTACAAGCTCAGAATTTTTGTTAAGTACATGAAATTTCCATTTTATTGTATAGTTTTATGCTTACACTAGTTTAAATGCATTCTCTATAACTATATCAACTTAGGTCCTATGGGATTATTTCGGTCATCCCCACCATGTGACTTTACCAACAAGATTGAAGCTAAACAAACAAAATTAGAAACAGCAAACTTTTCGATGAATGTGATAAGAAATGGTCATCAGATGATGACTAGGGGTGTTAACCTCCAACAAGATACTTTGTTACAAGGATCCTTCTAACACAGCCATTATGTCAGAAGCTTCAAAGCACGGGGGCTGTCAGAATTATAGTACAATAAAAGAAGTTTCTCTAGCTTAAATCTCTTGTAGGCCCAATCCTGAGAAGTGAGGCAAAGCATCTTTCCTACAAATGAAGTGTGTCTCCAGCATCCACCTGATTGAACTTTCAGAGATGGATGCCCAAGACATATCATAAATCTGTGTACCACCGTGGCTCTGGGTGCCTTAGTTATGGCTAAAGAGTTTAATACCCATACACATCTGAAGGCGGAAGAACACATATAGTAATCAGCAGGAGCTGACTGTAGAAGCAGAGGCTGGTGCTGCTGGTGCAGCCCTGTGGGAAGTTCTCTTCCACAGAGGCCAAGTAGAAAAGTCCTAGAGAAATCAGTGGAATAAGGATGGTCAGAGTAGGAAGAGACAGAAACATTCTCTTCTCCCACTACTACCTGCCACCGTGTTTTAAAAGGGCTATGGTATTAAGAACATTTAGTTGTTGTGGTTTTTAAAAATTATGATCTAGTGCTGCTCTGTTTCTTCCTGCTTCTTTTGATTTGTCATCCTTGCTGCCTGTGGTATCATATTAGGGATCCCATCAATGATTGGACAGGCTATTCCCAACTCTTCATTAATCAATTCATTTGTTGATGCTTCATATCTGAGCAACTTCTTGGACAGGGAGCACACCAGGAACTGCAGCGGCACTCGGTGGAAGGCACTGGGCAGCGGCCCCGCCCTCTCGTTCAGATCTGCCAAGGGTCTCGACCTGGTGTACCCGCAGCACTGAGGCCAGCCTGCCGTTTGCTCCACTAAGCATGGTTCGGCTCTGGCTTCTTTCTGTCCTGTTGCACTGCTGTTTCACCTGAGTTCCTAAGTCTGAGTGGTAGCTCCACCTGAAACCATCAGAATCTCGTTCCAGACATCTAGAAGATGGATAAAGAGGATGAGCAGGCTCAGCCTTTTCAGTGTTTCTTGGAAACTGTATAAACTGTTTTCACTTAAATCTCTGTCAGCAGAACCTAGTTGTATGGCCCCAGCTAGCAGGAAAAGAGGCTGAAAACGAGGACTTCTATTCTGGATACCATGACCTAGTCAAAAATTGGCAGTTCTACCAGTTGTAAATGAAGGGAAGAATGGATTGGGGGCAGGGGTGGCCGCCTGCAAGTTCTGTCCACAGTCAGGTGTTTGGCATACAGAAATACAGAAACCATTCTCTGTCTGATTGGGACTTACGGGACAACGTGGTTGCTGCCTCTTCAGTGATGGTTTTCCTGACAGGCAGGAGCTATGTCTAATTGATCTTTTACTATTTGATCCTTAGCACAGTGCCTGGTATATGTAGACCATACAGCAAATGTTGAATTAATTAATTAATTGGGTCTTAGAAAACAAGCTTATATGTAAGTATGTAGAATTTTTTGTTGGAAAAATGTTGGCTTCCAGCCAAGAGAAAGACATCAGTAAATATACTGGAGAAACACAAACTTGTCTTATTGGGGACCTGAAAAGAATCTCTACTTGCCGAGGGCTTCAGGCAGCCAAGGCAGATCATTGCAATCTCATAAATGTGGTTCCTGTTCAGAAATAGCTTCTGGGTCTAGGTGACCTCCCTGTCCTCCTTTACTGTTTGTTCCTTGTTGACATTGCCCTTAGGAATGTGCAATCCTGTACCTGTTTGCCTGCAACTCATGTCCTCACGCTTACCCTGTACTGTACTGTGTCACAGAGAAGCTGATCTCTCTAGGCTATATTTTTCAGGCTTCTGTGTGTGCTGCAGTCTGGCTGGGCTCCACCAATACAAGATAACAGGAGGAGATTGCAGCCAGGAGGAAGGATGTTTCTCCCGCTCTGTGCCCTTTGAGACAGTGCTCTGGCAGCAGCTGTGTGGCTCTGGTTTTTGCTGGACAGGCCTTCCCTACAGCCTACTAGAGATTTTACCTCCCTGCCAGATCCCCCTCGCCTCTGGGCTGCAATAATACCAACTGTTGTTCTTTATGGTTTCTCTAGACTACCAGTGGTTATGGCTTCCTGCTGTTGCTAATCTCTGGGTTATCTTTTTTGGCTGCCTAATTCTCCATCAGCAGTATAATGAATTCCCTGCTTCCTTCCACTTTAAATACTCAGATTCATTTGTTTCCCTGTTTGCCCTCTGAATGACAAAATGACCATTATAAAAAGCTTGGCACTTTTAGAGATACTGTGGTTTCTGGAACAGCTGTGGGACCAGGGCTGTGTGTGTGTGTGTGTGTTTGTAAAGCAGCCATAGCTTAAGGATTCTGTGCTCCTAGTCCCAGGCAGAGTTAATATGTATAGTATCCTCCCATGGACTATACCACTGATCCCTGTTTCCCTGAAATTGTGTGGCAAAGATGCTTCATACTGCCTGAAATTCTGCAACTGAGAAAGTTTGTTAACACAGTTAATAAGCACCTTCTTTTAAAAATGCCCTTCATGATTAGATTTTACCAGCTTTGCAATCCTACACTGTGCACTTGTCTTATACTGCTTGTCTCTATAGAGAAGATAGTTTAGCATGTAGAACTCTGTTTGGTGGATCCTACTTCCAAAAAGCTAAGCATTCTAGTGTTGGTCCTCTGTTCATGGGAAAATGTACACAGAAAAACATTTGACATATTTCTCAAAAGAAAAAAGCAGATTCTGGTGTATTTTTTTAAAGTATATAAAAATGGGCCACAAACATGAAAAATGAGTAGTGGTTTATTAATAGTGGTTATTGATATCATTTTGAGTACTCTTTTTCACTATACTTTACCGTCAGTTTTTTATAGAGAAAATTTCAAGCTATTAATTTCATAATTGACAGCAGACAGTTCAGCATTTCTTTCTTTCTTTTTTTTTTTTTTTTAATTTTTTGACAGAGTGGACAGTGAGAGAGAGAGACAGAGAGAAAGGTCTTCCTTTACCATTGGTTCACCCTCCAATGGCCGCCATGGTGATCAGCACCACGCTGATCCAATGGCAGGAGCCAGGTGCTTCTCCTGGTCTCCCATGGGGTGCAAGGCCCAAGCACTTGGGCCATCCTCCACTGCACTCCCTGGCCACAGCAGAGAGCTGGCCTGGAAGAGGGGCAACCGGGACAGAATCCGGCGTCCCGACCGAGACTAGAACCCGATGTGCCGGCGCCACAAGACAGAGGATTAGCCTAGTGAGCCGTGGTGCCGGCCCAGCATTTCTTATTTTAAACTAAAATAATTGCTTAAGGCCACTACCATTCTATAACAAGACTTTTCTTTTCCTTCCATCCTCTGTTTTCTGTACTTAGAACTCAGGCTAGTAACACGCAGGCTCATTCAGCTGTATTATTGATCACATAAACTTTATGGGCTAACTTGGGAAATCTAGCAAATTTTGAAGTAGTAAAGTATTTAAAATCTCATTTAATTTAGAATCTTAACTTCTGAGGGTAAGCAGTGTAAACAATATCTCTTTTGTTCGCTTCTTCACACCCAGTCAGTAACATCGGGTTTGACACACAGGTGGCCTCAGTAAATATTTGTGGAATGAATAAGACTTGGCAATTGTCTAGTTCAGAGTGGAAGCTAACTTTTGTAATATATTCTTCACTAATCAGGACATATCTATACTTATAAATTTTTTTAAAGATTTGTTTATTTATTTGAAAGGCAGAGTAACAACGAGAGAGAGAGAGAGAGAGGCAGAGAGGGAGAGAGAGAGAGGTTTGCTTAATCCGCTGGTTTGCTCCCCAAATGGCCGGAATGGCTGGAGCTGGGCAGATCTGAAGCTAGAAGCCTGGAGCTTCTTCCAGGTTTCCCATGTGGGTAAAGGAGCCCAAATACTTGAGCCATCTTCCACTGCTTTCCCAGGCACATTAGCAGGGAGCTGGATTGGAAATGGAGCAGCCAGGACTTGAACTGGTGCCCTTATAGGATGCCAGCACTGCAGACTGCGGCTTAACCTGCTGTACAGCGCCGGACAGCGCCGGCGTCTGTACTTATAATTTGCTATCAGTTCTTCCCTCTCCCAAGGATTTGTAAATACTTAACTTCCTTTCTAGGTATACTTGTGCTAGAATGCATTACATTTCTTTTAAAAAAATATTCATTCATTTAATGCCTATTCAATGATGGAGTCTCCTCTGGGTTAGGCACTGATGGCTCTTAGGTGTGTGGTGCTAAACAGAAGAGGAACGATTCTCATATCAAAGAGCTTATAGTTGGTGAAACAAATGAAAATGGTGCTTTCTATCACTCACATGAACAGTTGACTATGAAGAATGAGTTGCTTGCAAGTTAGAGAACTGCTCTCTGAGCTAAGGCCTCTTTTCCTAGTGATTTCCATTTTCACCTCAACATTTCGGTATCTGTTTTTCTACTTGGAGGAACTGAAACCATTTCATATTAACCATGTGAGGAGTGTTTTTATACCTCTCTTTTCCTTACAGGTGAATTTCAATGAGCCCTTGTCCATGCTTCAGCGCCTTACTGAAGATCTGGAATACCATGAGCTGTTAGACCGAGCTGCAAAATGTGAGAATTCTCTAGAACAGCTCTGTTATGTTGCAGCTTTCACCGTGTCCTCCTACTCCACTACTGTCTTCCGAACCAGCAAGCCATTCAACCCACTCCTTGGGGAGACCTTCGAGCTGGACCGATTAGAGGAGAATGGGTACCGATCCCTCTGTGAGCAGGTAAAGGAGTCTCAGGACCTTAACACCTTTCCTTTGTAAAGCAAAGGATGGCCTTTTGATTGCTCTCTCTGGGTGTTATGTCTGCAGAAATTCTTGTTCATGTCATCCCAGCCCTCTTGTTTCCTTCAGCACTACAACACTGGAGACCTTGGTATTCGCCTACTGTTGCGGGTGTGAAAATGTCAAGTGTGACTTTTGACTATTTATCACTATCTAATAAGCAGTATCTTTTCCTTCTGCGTTTTAATTTGAACTTGATTTCTTCAAGGTGAGTCATCATCCCCCTGCTGCTGCACACCATGCTGAGTCCAAAAATGGCTGGACATTGCGTCAGGAAATCAAAATCACCAGCAAGTTTCGAGGCAAATACCTCTCCATTATGCCCCTCGGTAAGGCTGCCATCTTTGCAAGAATTGGTGTGCCAGGACTGAAAGTTTTCTGGCATGATGGAGGAAGTAATGGTTCAAGAATCAGGGGACTGGAGGTCTGATAGGGGAATAGAACCTCACTAGCTGATTTGGCCGCTTCGTTTAACGTCTCAGCTATCGAATGAGTGATGAGGCCAGAGATTTTTAAGAACCTATCCAGTCAGAAATTCTTTGATTTTTTTTTTTTTTTAAGATTTACTTATTTTATCTGAAAGGCAGAATTACAGAGAAGCAAAGGCAGACAGAGAGAGGGAGAAGTCTTCCATCCTCAGGTTCACTTCCCAAATGACTGAAACGGCCAGAGCTGAGCTGATCCAAAGCCAGGAGCTGGTGCAGAGGCCCAAGGACTTGAGCCATCTTCTACTGCTCTCCCAGACCATAGTAGAGAGCTGGATTACAAATGAAGCAGCTGGGACACAAACTGGTACCCATACGGGATGCTGGCAATGCAGGCGGTGGCTTTACCCCCTACTCCACAGCTTTGGTCCCTTAGCTTTAAACACTAGTTTGGTGGCTGGTGTTGTGGCACAGTGCGTTGAGCCACTGCCTACAATGCCGGCATTCCTATATAAGCACCAGTTTGACTTCTGACTTCCCTACTTCTGATCCTACTCCCTGCTAATGTGTCTGGAAAGACACTGGAAGATGGCCCAAGTACTTGGACCCCTGCCACCCATGTAGGAGACCAGAATGGTCCTCTCTCCATAACTCTGCCTTTCAAATAAATAAATAAATCTTAACAAACAAAACATACACTAGTTTAGAACACAAATTCTAGCATGCAGGGGTTTGTGTGTGTGTGTGTGTGTGTTTTTGAAGCATTTTTATTTTTAAATTTTTTTTTCATAATTACAGCTTTAGGAACATAGTGATTCTTCTATCATACCCTCTTTGCAACCCATATTCCCACCCTCCTTCCTCTTCCCTCTCCTATTCCCATTTTTATTTTTTACTGAGATCCATTTCTAATTAACTTTCAATACATATGATTAACTCTGTACTAAGTAGAGTTCAACAAATTGTGTGGAAAAAAAAAATGTTCCTCAACAGTGGAGATAAGGGCTGTTCCAAGTCATTGCACCTCAAAGTGTTAATTTCATTTCTATAGATTACCTTATAGGTGTTATCACAGATCAGGGAAAACATATGGTATTTGTCCTTTTGGGACTGGCTTCGTTCACTAAGTATGATGTTTTCCAGTTTCATCCATTTTGTTGCAAATGACAGGATTTCTTTTTTATTTTAACCTCTGTGTAGTATTCCATGGTGTACATATCCCATAATTTTCTTTATCCAGTCTTCAATTGATGGACATTGGGTTGATTCCATATCTTAGCTATTGTGAATTAGATGCAGTAAACATGGTGGTACAGATAACTCTTTCATATGCTGATTTCATTCCCTTGGGTAAATTCCCAGGAGTGGGATGGCTGGGTCATATGGTAGGTCTATATTCAGATATACTCAGATTTCTGAGATATCGCTATACTGTTTTTTTTTTTTTTTTTTTTTTAAGAAGAAAGGTTTATTGTCAGATTGGGGAAGCCTGACAGGCCAAGGGGAGAGAGCAAGAGGGTAAGAGAGAGGAGGAGAGCTTAAGAGAGAGCTGTACTGTCTTCCACAGAGGCTGTACCAGTTTACATTCTCACCAACAGCGGATTAGGGTACCTTTTTGCCCACATCCTCACCAGCATTTGTTGTTTGTTGATTTCTGTATGTAAGCCATCTGACAGGGGTAAAGTGAAACCTCATTGTGATTCTGATTTGCATTTCCCCGATGGCTAGTCAACCTGAGCATTTTTTCATGTGTCTTTTGGCCATTTGGATTTTGCCCATTTCTTAACTGGGTTGTTTGTTTTGTTTTTGAGTTTCTTGATCTCTTTATAGATTCTAGTTATTAATCCTTTATTGGTTGTATAGTTCGCAAATAATTTCTCTCATTCTGTCAGTTGCCTCTTCACTTTGCGGAGTGGTTATTTTTGTATGTTTGTTTTTTTCAGTGCAGAAGCTTCTCAATTTGATGTAATCTCATTTGTCAATTTTGGCTTTGATTGCCTGTGCCTCTGGGATCTTTTCCAAGAAGTCTTTGCTTATGCCAGTGTCTTGCAGGGTTTCCCTAATATTCTCTACTAATTCAATGGTATCGGCTCACAGATTTAGGTCTTTAATCCATTTTGAAGGTAGCGGTCTTGCTTCATACTTCTGCATGTGGAGATCCAGTTTTCCCAGCACCATTTGTTGAAGAGATGTCCTTGCTCCAGGAATTGATTTTAGCTCCTTTGTCAAGGATAACTTGATTGTGGATGTGTGGGTTGATTTCAGGTGTTTCTATTCTTTTTTTTCTTAAAGATTTATATATTTATGTGAAAGTTAGAGTTACACAGAGAAAAGAGAGGCAGAGGGAGAGGTCTTCTATCCGCTGGTTCACTCCCCAGTTGGCTGAAGTGGCCAGAACTGCGCTGATCCAAAGCCAGGAACTTCCTCTGGATCTTCCCACATGGTGGTACTGCATTCCCAGGCCATAGCAGAGAGCTGGATTGGAAGTGGAGCAGCCGGAATTCGAACCGGTTCCCATATTGGATGCTGGCACTGTAGGTGGTGACTTTACCCACAGCGCCGGCTCCCATGTTTCTGTTCTGTTCTGTTCCATTGGTTTATTCATCTGTTTTGTGCCAGTACCAGGCTGTTTTGATTATAACTGCGCTGTAGTATGTCTTTTTCTTTACTTTTTCATTTTAATTAAAAAGTAATCATTTCATCTTACTAACACAAGGGTTTTAAAGAGGAAAAAGATACACTATATAACATAAACAGTTCAGAACATAAAATGCTGCCATTTGAGGGACGTTGAGTTTTGAAACCATTTCTTGGTCACTGGCAGGAGCTCAGCCAAAGCCACAGTGGCTCCCTCACCCCTGCCAGGGGCCCCTTGAGGCTGCCCCACGGGGCTTTACTGAGCACAATCCTAAGGAGAGGGCAGCTTTCCTCTGGCTGAGCTCAGAGCAGCAGCCAGAAGCCCTCCCTGCAGCAATTTTACTCCAGCTCCAAAGGTTTGAATTGCCACCCCTATCAGAACATGTCCAGCTATCAAAAGTCTGACATTGAACTGGTCCCCACCTCCTGCTGCTCAGAAAACAGAACCAGAGTCTGGAGGAGAATAGAGGCTGGGTCTTTGAGCCAAATACTGAAAACCAGTCATTGAAAGGATGGGTGTCCACTGCCAGAGCTGAGCTCCTCCTCAGAGCCGGCTCCAGGACAGTGCTGCTAGAGGGGTGCAGACAGAACTGTGAAGGGGGAAGCATGGGGGTGCCCAGATTCACAGTTTGTGTCAAACTGCTGGTGACTGGAGCTGTTCAGTCCATTAGAGATCCTCCAGCAAAATGGGGGGTGGGGGGCCAAAAACAAAAAACCACCACCCTGACTAGGGCAGAGAACTTTCTTCTTTTGTAGCTGCCTTGGCCATGCTTCCACACACTTAGGAATCCCAAGGCAGCCCCGCCCCCATGTCGGGGGAGGGCTCGAGGACACAGATTCTGTCAAGGGCAGTGTGCTTCTTTGTGACCCTAGGTAGAAGCTCGAGCCCTTGTCAACATGCATGGAAACCTTGGTGAGTTCAAAATGAACAATGGTGGCAGCTACCACCATGACCCATGCCAGTCCCAACTCTGCTAGCTGGGGCTTGCCTTCTTCTTCCTTTCCTCCCCCAAAGCCAGCAGAGAGGACCCAGAGAAGCTCCCTCAAACATACACTGAGCCTGGACACCTGTAATGTCCCTATAACTCCAGAGATATTTATCTTCTATAAAAACAAACAAACAAACAAACAAACAAAAAAACAAAAACAAGGAAGGTACATCTCCAGGTGCACTATAAACTTAGTAGGGGATAAGTGATACAGCTTTGGGCAGAAGAGAGCAGGTGGCAGAAACTCATGACAATGGATGTAGACCTGGAGAATACAAAGGACGTCCTCTAAGCAACTCTATTTAAAACGCAGTAGCTGGGAGGAGGCCAGGGGCCCTGGGGACGTCAGTAATGCCTCTGGTAAGATCCCATGGGGGCCTGGGGCTGTCCCACTTGTACTGTGATCTGGTTAACCAGGTGGGAGAGAGCAGGGCCACTCTGGATCAGGGTGTCCAGAGCTTTCTGTACACTTAGATTGTCAAAGCTGATACCTGTGGAAGTCACAGGCCTGTGGCTAGCCATGTTGCTCACAGGTGCCAGGCAACTGGAGGGCTGTCCAGAGAGTCCTTGGGAGGGAGCCCCAAACCTAGGGCCCGTGTTCTGAGCAGATCCTGCCTGTCCCAAAGTGTTTGCAAGCTGATTGCCAGAGGTCTGTGATCTTTGTTGAGGCTGGCTGTTCCCTGCTGTGGGAAAATTCTGGTTCTGGGTGCTTCCGGCAGCAACCAAGGGGGATGCAGAGTTGCTATTGGCTGTGACCGTGCCACTACTGAAGAGCCTGAGTGTTTTGGCCTGAAGCTCTTGCTGGGAGGTAGGGGGTGCAGCTGGAGCAGGTGTAGCAGAGGGGAGCACTTGACCACTCTGGAACAGTTGGGAGCTTGGCTGTGTCTTCAGCAAGGCACCCGAGATCACCCAAGTGGCTGGTGGGAAATGTAGTATGTCTTGAAATCTGATGTTGGGATACCTCTGGCATTGTTTTTGTTGTTTAATATTGCTTTAATAGTTGGGGTTTCTTGTGTTTCCATATGAATTTCAGCATCATTTTTTCCATATCTGTGAAGAATGTCCTTGGTATTTTGATTAGGATTACATAGAATCTCTAAATTACTTTTGGTAGTATGGACATTTTGATATTGATTCTTCTTTTTTTTTTTTTTTTTTTTTTTGATATTGATTCTTCTAATCCATGAACATGGAAGATTTTTCCATTTTTTTTTTTGTATCTTCTGTTTTTTTTTAAATGTTTTGTAATTCTCATCGTAGAGATCTTTGATGTCCTTG